AAAAAAAAAAAAAAAAAAAAGAAAGGAGGTCATGCTATGTTGCCAAGCCTGGCTCTGAACGCATGGGGTCAAAAGATACTATCTTAGCTTCCTAAGTAGCTGGGACTACAGGTATACGGCACTGTGCCTGGTTTAGAAGAAGAAATCCTAATTCTGTACCCAGAGCTTCAAAACTTTGTTTCCTTCTTCCTACATGTCTAATAGAACTGGGATGCAAAAAGGCCTTTCATCAATTAGCCCTACTATCTTTAATAAAATGGTATCAATAAGAGGTATAGTCTGAATATTTTTTATAAAGTTATAGCTTATAGGGCTGGGGATTTAGCTCAGTGGTTCCGCCACCTCCTTCACAAGCAGAAGGTTCCGAGTTTGATCCCTGGTACCAAAAAAAACAAAAAAACCAAAAAACCCAAAAAACCCCCTAAAAACCAAAACCAAACAAACAAACAAAACAAACAGTTATTGATTATATAAAAGTTGCTTATTACTTTTACTAACATTACTGTAAAATGAGCATTTTTGAGGTTAACTACATCTTGTGGGAACCCTTGAAACAAAAATACACCTTATATAAAAATTTACCCATTACACATACTTGTCGCTCTAGATCCTGAATTTTTTTGGCATCAGTTGCTCTATCTTTTGACCGTAACTTCTGCTGAGCAGATGGATTCCCAGATTGAGCTTTCAGTTTCTCAATCTGCCAACAAATAAAGACATTAAGAAGCATATTTAAAACACAAAAGAAAAGATCCAAGGCAGAAGCAAGTCATTTTCTGATTTTTTAATTTCTCATTGAACTCCAACTGAGCTCTTCCCTAGTTTCGGGTACTTCCAGGGTACAGCACAGAACTGCTAAAGATAAGGAGAGCAAGCAAGAAAAAGTAAGTTCCTGACCTTATGGTAAATATGCTCTCATGGAGGGAGATGGCCAGTAAGCTCATAAATAAAGTTTATCAATAAGTACATTAAATTACTTGAGAGTAACAAGTGTCATGAAGAATACGGAACAGAGTGAAAGAACAGGAATAAAATGTTAGTAAGGGCAGGAGTGGCAGCTACATCAGAGAAGTGATTCAGGAAAAGTCAATGAGCTGAGAACTGAACAATTGGAGCTGTTCAACAAGAGGCGACTCATGGGAAGAACCAAAGTCAGAGTAATCCCCACCAAGGCAATAAGTGGAATGGGCCTGGCAGGATGAAGATCAGAGGAGCACTGATGTGCCTAGAGAAGAGTAACTCGGGACAGAGTAGTTCCAGATGAGGCTGAGGAGGCAGGCAAGGTTAAGACTACAGCAGGCCTGATGGGTTTTGATAGAGCTTGCATTATTCTCAGCCTAATCTGAAATATATGTCTAAATAGCAAAGAAAACCCAAACCAGCTATTTAAACTAAGAGACTTTAGAGTAATGGTACCATGATACAAGATTATGTGGAACTGATAATGAGAACAAGAGGGTTCATCTACAGAAAGACATTCTGAAATGACCCATTACCTCCACTTTCAATTTCTCAATTTCTTCATTTGCTTCTTTAAGCCGAACTGCGTCTTTATCCAGAAGGTCCTGATTTTCAGCATACCACTGTAGTCTTTTCTGCAGGTGACTGATTTCTTGTTTATGTGTTTCTTCCAAAACTTTTATTTCATATAACTTTTCACCTGTATAAAATAATGCACTAATCTGAGTGTAATTTTTCAAAATATAAAAATAAAATTTTAAGATCCTGAATGATAATCGATGTGTATTTTTTTGATACCAGGGATCAAACTCAGGACTTTGTACTTGCTAGGCAGGCACAGGGCTGAAGAACTAAATTCCCAGCCCACAATGTCTACTTTGTGAAGAAATTAAAGGCATAAAACTGATATATAGTAGTGTCTAATCTATAAGAATGAGATTATATTCATAATCAAAACACCGAACCAGTGAACACAGCAAAGTAGCCTTCTAGAAATTTTTGGTAATTTGTTTTCTCACTGACATTCGTTATACAATTGAAGTTGTCTTCATGGGAAAATAAATGAATTCAGAGATAATAAAATGAAGAATGCCTACAGTTACATTATAAAACAATGGCAAATATTCATGAGTGTTTTTTTTAACAACAAACTTACAGTTTTAAAACTTCTAAAAAAGTTTCTTTTTAAAAATTATTCTATTTCACAGATGAGGAAAGCAAAATACTTTTTTTTTTCTTCAAACAAACAGGAACAGAAGTTTTTGTTCCTATCTTACTGATGCTGCTTATACTGTAGAGGAAAGTTCGCAGCTTTGGCCAACAGGGCTCTTCTGATCCTTCTAGTCCTGTGTTCTGTCATCCTAAACTGCAACCCACAAGTACACTGAATGGTGTTCTCCTGGGACACACTCGAGCAGCCTCCCCTTATTCCTTTACTTTCAAATCTTATTGTTAAAGTACAGCTTGAGTGTCCCTCTTCTCTGAAACATTGAGCATCCATCTTCTCTCACGTTTATTTGTAATTTTTAAAAAGTTTTCTGCATTCTTATCTTATGCCTGTTTGTTTTTCCTGGCAGGGACCATGTCAGATTTATCTTTACATTCTCACTAACACACAGCGTGATGTCACTTGTTTGTTCATTTAGCATATACTTAACAGCCCATGTTTCAGATCAAGGGATAAAAAGTCTTTATCCTAGGCAAGTTCACAGTCTAGCTTGGATGACAGATATATACATAACTAAACATAGAATGCTATGAATTCAAAATAATCTTTGATTTTCTTCAATCTTTCAAGCATTCCTTTAAACCAATAAAGGTATACATCTAAAATCATGGCACACTTCAAAGAACAGAATTTTAATTATATCATTCAGTTTTCATTAAATTCAAGATCAGAACAGTTCTGAGTATAAAATAAGGGTTTAAGTATAAAAGAGTGTTAAGTGTAAAAGAGTTCTGAGTATAAATATAAAAGATAATGTTTCAACTTAGTGTTTTACCTGTGGTATAAGCAATCTGATCTTTGGCTTGGTCTCGTTCTTTCTTCATTTTTTCCAGATCTACTTCAAGAGCTTGTTTGTCTTGCTTCAGTCTTCTGATGTCTTCCAACAAACCGTTTTTTTCTTTCTTGATAGTCCAAGAAATACACAGGCAAGGGACTTTCCAACTCAATCCATCAAAAATACCATTGTAAAATATTTTCCTATATTTTAGACCTAATTTTATGACTACCATTTGCCCTATCCCTATTAGAATTAGTTCCAAACATCTCAAAATAGCCATTAGACTTCCTAATCTACTGTTCTGTCTTCTCTTTAGTAACCATATTGATACTAATTTTCTTGCCTGGATTGCTATAGTAATCTCCTAGGTAGCTTGCACGGCAGCCAGAGAATTGTTGCAGTCAGTTAACATTACCCCTCTGTGTGCAACTCTCTGGTGGCTCTTCTGAGTTAAACCAGTCCTTACCATGACCTTTATCATTGCATAACACAGGCTTCACCAGACTGACAACTACTATACATGCAGAAGGAGGGGTCATGCCCGCCTGTCTGAATTAATTACGTTTTGCAAGGACTTTCTAAACCAAGAAGAAATTCTTTCACTTTGTATGTATGTCTCATGCTGCTGTAAGCCTGACACATATTCACATATTTCTGTAACAAAGTTTTTATTTAGCATTTTTAAAACACTTCAGCAATCCAGACAAGGCTCTCTGAATAGAACATATGCCCAGCAATGAGCTGAAGCCAAATTTTGCCTCTGTTCTGCAAGACCAAGGAACTCCTTATCAAGTGCTTCCTTGTATTCCTCCCTTTGTGATTTAACAAACTTTCCCTATCTCAGGCTCTTTGAAGGCAATGTAATGCTCTGCACATCCTAAATAAATTTAAACATCAAAAGATGTTTATTATATTTCATATAATGCTTTTTGGTGTTTTTAGTAAGTTTCCAAATTTTCTATTAGTCATAAAAATAGAACTTTTAAAAGGTCACTAATAACCTCAGTGAAGCTAATGTTATGCTTGAAACTTAATTCAAGCTTTCATAAAGTATAGTGAAATTAATTGAACTTGCTCATTTTTGAGGGCCACTGATAAGGAGGATGTTATCCAACCATTCTTTCCACCTATCTGCTTACCTATATGTCTAATTCGATATATACATACCCACATACATCTGTGGCAGAGTGGTTTTAACTGTTACAATGTCTGGTGAATGATATGAGCATATAGTACCGGGGGGACAAAAATATAAAATCATGTAGTGTATAAAACACTTCTGCTTAAAACAGAATTAACTTGCTCAAAATTCCAAACCTCCTCCCATTGATAAATATTGCTTTAGAAAATTCTAGGCTATACTCTTTATCACATAATTTGAAATGGAGAAACTTCATTTTAGCGTCAGTAGGTATCTGGGACACAGATATATGTAAGACACAATCTCTGCTCTATAGAAGTACACTGTCAACTTTGGAAGATAAGTAAACAGCCAATTAATATTTTGTTTTGTTGTTGGGTTTTAAAAATAATCCTTATTTTAAAAGTTAACATGTGCATTACAGGAGACAAAAGCACACGAAGCAAAGAATAAAGTCATTTGCAGTCATAATCACCTTAGCTGGAAGTGTCCTGCTAGGTCCTACACATACATGCACAATCTGCTATTTTCTGTGGCTATCATACAGTGTATTATGATTTTCCACACATCGTGAATATTCAACAATTCAAAATCCCAAAGCTACAAGAATATACTGCACCAATTCAATCTGTTAGAGAAAAACTGTAATCTTGCCTTTCTTGAGATTAAAAATTTCACTGAAGACAAAAATGGCAATGGATCTATAGAATTGGTAGTTACAATTAAAGTACTAATTTCCTTAGAACTTAATTTAAAATGAGACATAAAGCAACAGATTACACCAAGCATGTTTCTAGGAGTTATCCAATCTTTATTATAATATTAGTGAGAAGGTATGCTTCTACTGGATTAATAATACATTTCTATAGTTCATCCAGAAGATGATAATACATCAAAACATGTCTCAGCAAAACGTAAATCTGAACACAACACACACACACCTCTCCTGTTTGCTTCCTTCTATCCCTTGGCTGCCAGTCCAATGATAGATCCCAATACATACTGCCCAGGGGTGGTAGAACAATTCCAAGATGCATGTTCTGTGTTACATATAACACAAAGACATTTACAAGCTGGCTAACTTACTACCATGCACTGTCACCTTAAGATATAAGATGTAAGATATATCACTTTATAGATATAAAGTGCAGATGTTGTACAACAGAGTATGAACTTTGTGCACAATAAGCCCAAGTACTTTACCAAAAATGCACATACAGAAAGAGCTGTGGTCGTAATCTAAAACCATCTTCCATATACAAAAACTAGCAAAGAGCCCTTACCCTCCTTTGCTTATCTTCACTGTTCCAGTGACCAAGTGGACCACATCTAGTAATTTTTAAAGTTGAACAATTATCTTCAAACTATTTTCCTATTTTAGCTGCATGCTCTACGTTTTCCAATGTAAGATAAAATATACGCACATGTTCTAAAGAAGTTAAACTTCTGTCGGGGGTCAACGTGATAAATGCCTGTTGAATATGACAGAGGATGCCATCTAAAACCAGTATGACATCATTTCCACTATATTAAGGTCACATGTACACTAAATGCTAATCTATTTCTTAATTTTTAAATGGCATAAAATTTAAAAACAGATCTCATTCATACATATTACAAAAACAGATTTTTATAGAGATTTTTATAGCAATCTTTATGATCTCTAATAATTACAATCCTTATGCAACTTACCTGTACCACCCGTAGTTCTGCTAAGAGATCTGTGAAACTCTGGTTTTTGTTAGGCTCTGAATCTTCAACTGCTTGAGATAGGAAACGATTTTTGTGCATTTGTTCTCTGATTTATTTTGAAAATAAAAGGATACTTTTACTAGACATTCCTTTCAAAATAAAATATTCTCAACAATGTTCAATAAACATTGAACTATATTAATCACTGAAGACAGAATCTTTATCCTAAAGATTAAAATACTAATGTACTAATAGAATAGTATACTTTAAAGGAAATGCTTGTATATAATCTATAAGAATTGAAATCCTAAGGTTAATCATTTATTTATAATATAAATATATTTCCTCCCATTCTCAGAGAAAAAAATACCAATGGTGCAGAAAAATGTGCTGGCTGAATTTTTGGTAGTGAAATATTCCTTATCCCAAATCTAGGTGCTCGGGAAACATCCACTGCCAATTTTATGCATGGAAACTAGCAAAACCAAACTCTGCTTTTCAGGGTTTTCCCCCTAGAGATAATATACAAAGGAGGTATACGTAAGATCATCTAGACCTACTGTATTAAAGAAAACACTAATTTTATCATAAACATTAGTTTTGGATGCTGGGGTAGTTCTTTGTAGAAGATAGGAAGTAACATCCCAAAGAGCTGACAGCCTGCAATATGAGTAAGGAGGTGCTGGTCCTCCCTTGTCCTCTGTGGTGAGTGTTAGCTGATACAACTCCTTCTATGGAGAAATGCTCTAGCCAAATAGCAATTACTAACCTGGAGGCTATCAGGAAATAAGGCATCAAAAGAAACCAGAATATATTCAATATCCTGAAACCAAAACCAAACTCAAATATGATTGTGGTGAAAATGCTAAAGCTACTGTACTAGGCATCCAATAACAAAAGAAAAACCCATTGAATATTTAGTTGCTAAACTGGAAATCACTGTACAAATGAAAATAAACAAATGTAAAAAAAATTTCTAAGTAAAAATAAATGTATCAGTGTAATGATAAAATGCTTAGAAATATCCTAAGTATTTTTGATTACAAGAATTTCAAAAGGACTTACTTTAAGGAAGCTAATTCACTTAATAAACTCTGGTTTTCTTTAAACATTCGCTCTTCATTTTTCTTGTTTTGTTCTTGGAGATCTTTTACTTGATTATATAATTTTTCATTTTCCTTTTTAAAAAACAGAAAATTGCATTTCAGTTAGAAGTCTATTTCTGGGTGGGAATTTAGCTCAGTGGTTCCGGTGCCTGCCTCTCAAGGAACAGAGTTTGATCCCCGGTACCAAAAGAAAAAAGAAAAAAAAAAGTCAGTACTTCTGATATGACAAGCTTGCAATAGATACATCTTTTACATATTTTAAGGATCTTTTAAATTTATATAAATTTATTTTTAGTTTTTTAGTACATAAAATCATTTTCAAATTTTTTATACTATATTAGAAGAAAACTTTGTATCTAAACACTTTTTTTTTTTTCCAAAAATGCTTACAATGTTCATGTGAAAAAGAAGCTGAAAACTGCCAAAGCTAAAGGTCCTAATGTCAGTTTAAGGTACTGTGTTTCAGAGGGAAGGGAGCTAAAGGAATCACCACATTCTAACTATCTGGGCCAGGGTTGGGACTTTATACCCTCTTTTGTTCTGATCTGAAAGTGAAAAAAAAAAATCACTACTGGAGGAAATTCTAGAAACGAGCCTCCAGTAGTGGGATAATAGGATGCAGCACAGTATTAATGGTGTATATGAAACTGACTATGAGCAAGGAGTTAAAGACTCAATGTTTATATAATCTGTCAGACAAGGCAGAGCACAGACCTAGTTTACTTTGCAGCTTGAGTGACTCCATCTAGCTCTGACCAAGGGAGAAGAGAAAGTACCAACTTGCGTTCAGCCTCTTAAAATTAAGAATCTGATGAAAATCAAGGGCTTTTAAGGAGTTAATGAAAACAATGGATTACCTCACCATGTCTGGAATAGTGCCTGGTAGATGGCACTTGAATACAGCACATACAGAATTAACAATCCCCCCCACATACCTACTTACACAATTTTTGTGTTATCTTCACAGGAGGGGTTGGGTGACATATTTATGGGTCTACGAAATCTTAAAAACTCCTGTTTCATAGGTTAAGATCAGAAAGCAGATGAAGAGTGATAACAGTTCTAAGTTGAGGGCAGCATGCCCTGCAAAATCAGGTTATTTCATTTAGAACAAATGATGCAATCATTGGTGTGGCAAATGCTTTATCTGAATGTCCTTAGGTAATAAAGCACGCTCTGACTAAAGTTGTCAAAAGAGAAGGACATAATGAAAGAAGGGAAAGGAAGAGGAAAAAGAAAAAGGGTGTGGAAAGCAAGGAATGAAGATAATATGATGATTATTAAACTCATCCTGGCTGTCAGATAAGCATCACTAAGATTCTATCACACATTATAAACATTTGACTCTGTAAACAAAGTGCACATTAAACTGTTCACAATAGTTAGCAATTGATTTTAGAATCACATTTCTGAATGTAGTACAAAAGTAGCCAATACTATTTACTAAAGAACACTATAGAATACTAAAGAAAACTGGATAGTTTCCAAGGAATGTAACTATTAAATTCATAACAAGCATCATATCTTAACTGGTAATTGTGTGCCAGGTTAAGACTGTACAGTACTTGCTAAGAAGCCGGTCTGTACTGCTGTAATGTGATTTCATCTTCACCTTATGAGAAGCATTATTATTATTATCCCCATTTCATGATGAAGATATTTGCTTTGAGGGGTGAAGTGATTTGCATAATGCTGCACAGCAGGTGGTAGAGTTAAGACTCAAAACCAGGCTGAGTCCATAAACCTTGCTCTTTAATCTGTCAATGAGAAATATGCAGACCAATCAAACTATTACTGCCTCACAGCTGCCTGTTAAATTAGCACATCATGTTTTAATAGACCTTAATTTTACAATTAAAGGGTCAAAAACAAACTCTCAATGGGCAGAAGAATTGCCACACCTGTTGATATCCTTGAAGAAGTGTCTCTTGTTCCTGTATTTCTTTTTGGATTTGCCTCAACTTTTCTCCATGGACAGGATCAGCTGTTTCTCCAAAATACAACCACCTTTGTTTTCTGTTTGTTTCTTCAAAGCTACTTAACTTTAAGAAAAGGCAGAAATTAATTGCCATTTGGGGAAGGAAATGATTACGTGAGACAGAAAGAGTAACAGAAAACTCAAATGGTGAGACCCAAACTATTTTATAACATAATATTGGAATATGATGTAACTACAGTTAAGTACAATGACTTTCGTTCTGATGGCTCTGGCGGATAAAGGAACTCACATGTTAGTGACATTCACTGAGCCTAGACCTTCTATAAAGCAGTTCTTGCTGAAACTAATTTAAAAAGGACTGATAACAGCAATCATCAATCAATTTAAGTTTAGAATTTCATCCCAGAGCTATAATTTACTCTCAGTTAGAAGTTATTCTCAGGCCGGGGATTTAGCTTAGTGGTTCGGTGGCCTGCCTTACAAGCACAAGGACCCGAGTTCAATCCCTGGTACCAAAAAAAAAAAAGTTATTCTCCAGAACGATGTCCATATTTTAGATAGGAAATAGGGATGGCAATACTATTAGCAGGGAGTAAAGGGCTTTTTGTTATTCCTGTTTTGTTTTGTTTTAAATAAAGGAAAAATACAATGGTGTATTTAGTACCTTGGTTTGAAGAATATAATTTTCTTGACTTAACTTGAACAGTTCTTTTTCCTGTTGGTGCTTTAGTTCCTCCAATTTATTTTCCAGTTCTTTCTCTTTTTCTGAAAATGTGACTTTAATTTGCTCAATTAGGGCTTCTGCACCCCTCCATTTTTCTTCTGCTTCCTGAACCCTTTTAAGCATAAATAATTCTTTCTCTTTGTTCTCATCACTGTATCCTGAAGAATCCTTTAAAACAAAAGCATTCTTTTATTATAGTGGTTTTACATATAAAGTTCAAACATAGGTGGTTAGAATAAAACAAGACATAAAGAATAAAAATGACAGTTAATAATGTTCTACTAGAAATTCTGCATGTCTATTTTATTATTTATCTTTTTATTAATGCATACTAATTACACCTATTAACGGGGTTTATTGTGATCTTTCCACACATTCATAACTCATGAATTATTTTTGTAACTGTTTTAATATAATTTTAGAATATAAAAGTTATAAATATTAATGTGAAATTTAATACCTACAATCTGAAACTGAACACAAGAATCAGCTGCTGTAGGATCTTCAGACTTCCTGGGAGTAGGCAGGCAATTTTCACCTTTGGGAGCTGCTTTACTCAAAGCTGCAGGCTTGATGAGTTTTGTTCCAGATAATATTTCTAAATATTAAAAACAATGGCTGAAAGTATTTATGTATTTAGCAATTATGTAACAATAAGTATGACAAGGGACTGGGGATTTAGCTCAGTGGTTCCGCCACCTGCCTCATAAACACAAGGTCCCAAGTTCAATCTCTGATACCAAAAAACAAATAGTAAGTATGACAACAACAGGAATTCTAAGATAAAATTAGGATCTTAAACAGGCTGAGGAACAACACTACAACACAGCTGTTTCACTATAATTGCAATCAGAAGAACTACTACCCATAATCAGTATTCTACTCAATTTGACACAGATGGCTAATTGACCCAAGACCCCTGTCAAATAACAAAGGGAGCTAAATGAAGGTGAGGAGACTGACTTGGCCTAACATGGAAATAAATTATAATTATTCATTATCTGTTCACAATAATAAGAATTTCTAAATGATGAATCAAAAAGCAAAAAGCAGCTGATAACTTTATGAAATATTTTAGCTCAGATTAAGTGTGATTTCAAAGCATACTTTCATAAATAATAAGATATATAGTTTAGGGGAGTAATATGAATTGCACAGAGGACTTCATAATAGCTAATCTAAATTTGATTTTAAAAGGTTAATAATGCTGTTATCACATAATAGCAACATATGTTAAATGAGAAAAAATATGATAGATGTATGTTCTGGTACAATTTTCCACTTTTAAGGTAATTTACAAATCCATAAAGAATACAGATAATTCTAAAGTCAATATATTACTCAGTTAATAACATCTAGGGGAAATATATACAAGGGATTTTTAAAGTCCTTATTCAACTATTATAGGTTCTGATTATCTTACAGATCAAATTTTATATTTTTAAATATTTTCTTCAAGCTGATAACTTTAAAAATGCAGAATTTACTTTTTCATTAAAAATGTTAAACACGCTGGGTAGAGTAGTGGACACTCATAATCTCAGATATTTAGGAAGCTGAAGCAAGGAAGATACCAAGTATAAATTCAGCCTGGGCAACTTAGTGAGAACCTTTCTCAAAAAAAATAAAATAATAAGAAAGGACGGAGCAGTAGCTTCAGTGTACCCTGAGTTCAATTTCCAGTAACTGAAAATTAAAAAGAAAGTTATACATAATTATTAAATACACAAGGAAAATATAGAAAAGCTAAAGGAAGAAACAATTTATCAACTGTATCTTCCAAAAATTTTCATTTCAATCTTTTTTACATGCATGCAAAGGTTTTTCCTTATACAGTCAAGATCATAATTAGGCTGTTTTCTGGAGAAATTTCTAAAACCATTAAAAAAATCGATTCACTGTAGTTATTTAATCCTTCCAAATTATTGGAGATTAATTGCTGTGACCAAGGAATGAGGGGAGTTAGTTTGCAGGAGGGAATATAATAAATATACTTCAAATAAGTAAAAATAAAATTAGCAAAACCACAGACATCTGAGTGGGAGACATATTACTTATATTTCATAGAAGAGAAGAAATTGAAAATGATGAAAAAATTGAAAAACATAGCTGGGACACAATAAGTACGGCTGTTGCAACCTCTGAGTGGTTTCCACTCTAGTTCCATAAAGGGAGCTTTTGGGACTTATAATAATTTAGGACAAAGTTTCTTTGTCTTATATATTTAAGTCTTTATCAATTTAAACCTTTATAAATTTTTGTCTATAAATTTAAACCTAAATGTATTATTTCAAAAAGAACTTAAAGTATGATATATTAGACTACAAATAAAAACATGGAAGTTAGAGCTGAAGAAAACTCATCTAGAATGAAAAGAACAATCACATGCAAGGTCCTGCCATTCTCTGCCTCCTTCCTATAAACAGAGACCTACTTTTGTTCACGCTGACAATGTGCTCAGTTAAACACATCTGACTCTATAATAACTGTGCAAGGTAGGGTGACCACAAGATCAAAGTTCTGGTCAGCAGGATGGGGGCAAGAGTTTTTTTCATGGTACTTCCAGCAAACTGATTACAGTAAGTTCTAAGCAGCTGATGATTTAATTATCATCTATCTTTCACCCTACTTCATGGACATTATTTGGAGAATGAAGACAGAAGTCACATACTAGAGATTTTGTAAAGTAAAGAAGGTGGGCTCTAGTTCCTTGCACAGCTATACCAGCTTTGAACTGCCTATCTCTGGAGACTGTTACATGAAAAACCCCAGTATCTGAGCCTCCTTCTCAAGGTTGATCGCAAATACATTCTCTGAACTTTTGTATACTAATCTCTTTCTCAGTGTCTGCTTCCAGCCTATGACAAGTAACAATCATTCCAAAGCAATTACAGTTCTCAGTAAACTAAAACTGCTGTGGGCAATTATTCAATTAAAAAACCAGATTAAATATCCTAATTAATGGATAGTATAATAAAAAAGTAGCTCAGAGGGCCAGCGATTTAGCTGAGTGGTTCCCCTGCCCGCATGGCATGCTCAAGGGCCTGAGTTCGATCCCTGGTACAAAAAAAAAGAAGTAGCTCAGTATAATAATAAAGTCATGGTCCATCATGAACAGTTTAATAAACATTTTAGTAAGTTGGTTTTTAAAATTCTATAGTCACAAATACTGTAACACTTTTAAATATGGAAATACTAGTTTAAGAATGTTAACTTCACTCATAAAAATGGTTGCTTTCTTCTATCATCCTCCGCATCATCTCCATCGCTTCTTTTTCACTCCCTGTGACACTGCTTCTGCTTTCATTCATGGTATGTCAGTCAGCCTTCTGATTACTGAACACAATACCCGACATGCATAATTTAAAAGACAGGAGGTTTAATTTAGTTCAAGCTTATCGGAGACAGAGTCTATGTAAGCTGGCTCCAAGGCAGAAACATGGAGGAAGGGCATGGAAGAACAAAGATGCTGAGTTCACGGGTGATGAGAAGCACAGCAGGGGAAGAGTGGCACAGAAGGGACCAGGGACCACATACAGTACTCAAAGCTACGCCGCTGTAACCCACTCAGGCATACCCAGAAGTGTGCTTCACTAACTTGCTAGGCATTTCTTAACCCAATCAAGTCAACAAGCCAGGATTAATGATCAAACATGATTAGGTGACCCGGTCAAATGCTTACCTTTTGGTTCTTTTACTTTCTCTCCACCTCAGCTACTCACTCCCACTGGCTGTAGTATGTCTTTCCACTAGCAATAAAATTATCCACTTCCTAATCTGTTTTAGGACCTCCTAGACAACTGTTTTACATTTTCTCTCTCACAACCTCAAATTCCTTTGCCCCATCCTCATTTCCATCTAATGATACTGCTTTCCCATTCTGAGAAAACTGAATCAGAAGCAAGCATGCACGTTCTCTCCCTACCACATCTATCCATCCACCAGCCTGTACTCTTCTTTCCTGTCTCCCTCCACAGCTCCCCAAAATGTAGAACTATCCATGTTCCTATCTAATTCTAGTCCTTCCTCTTCTATTCAAGGGCACTGCCCCAGCAATTCTTCCTCTACTACACTATTAATGCTTTTCCTCTCTACTGAATCTTTAATAGCCCACAAACGTACTATCACTTCTACTAAAAACAAAGCAAAGCAAAGCAACAGACAATGCAAAGGTTCTCTTAACTCACCTCCCAAGTCAGCTGCTGCCCCAGTTTTTGGCTGCCTTTTTACAGCAATATTGCTCTGTAGGGCAGTGGCGGTAAACCGATAGTGCATGTGCCATAGCATGCAGGATTACTGCTCTAGGGCATTCTATCACTTGAAGCATCAATTTTCCTACCCCATGGAAACTATATTTCTGCCTTACTGATAACTTCCTGTTGCTAAAACCCAATGTCAGTTTTAAGTTCTTATCTTTACCTGTCATCAGCAAAAGACAGAGAAAATTCTTTTTTCTTTATCTGGTTTTAGGATTCTCTGTTGTCAGCATTCTTCCAAATCTACTGCCTCCTTTGTACATTCTTCCTCTTCTGCCTGACTTAAGTAAGCATGCTTTCTTTGCCTTTTTCCCCCTAGCTGTCCTTACTCTTTTGGTATTCTCAATGAGTTTCATGGCTCAAAAATATCTTAGTTTTTAACAACTCCCAAATAATACCTTGAGTCCAAACATCCCTTTTAAAACTCCAAACTTTTAAATCTAAGTGCCTCCTTGTCAAATATAAATCTCAACATCATCTCAAAAACTAAACTCCTATTCTTTCCCCCAGCCCCAAATCTATTCCATCCCTCATTCCAGTGTGCAGTAATTCCATTCTTCCAGTGCTTGGGTCAAAAACTTTAGCAATCCCAAACTAGTTCTTTGTATTTTTGGTTTCACCTTCTAAACATATCCATATCCAACCACTTTTTAATCACCTCCCTGGATCAAGCCCGTTACCTATTATAAACTGCATCTTCCAGAAAAGAATGTAGTTCCTGATGATTCTCTTCCACAAAATTAAGAAAAATAAAGTAATACATTATATGCACAGAATTCTGGTTTGAAGAGTATATCATTACCTTTTTTCTTAGCTTGATTTGAGGTGGGAATGGGTCTGTTGTTGCTTTTCACGTCCTTTGAAGTTTTCTTTTCAAGTGTAGAAAACAACTTAAGTGGTGAACTGGGTTTACCATACCCTGAGCTCCTAACTGATGCATATAATCCACTCTGGGGTTTTCTTTTAAACAAAGGTGGTGCACTTCTGGCCTTTTTGTATGGTGCCTGTTTATCAATTACAGTTCCTTCTTCTCCAGAACAGATTTGAGATTTAAAAGCCTGTACCACACCAAAAACAAAAACAAAACAAAAAAACTATATGTAACAAATTCTTTACCATTTAAATGAATTTTAAACAAAAATTTAACATACAGTAAAATGATAGTGATCATCAATGTGGTTCATAAAAGGCAAATAACTATTCTAATTCATCAGAATTTTAGCATTTTAAAGCATACCTTCAAAATTAACATTGCAACAAAATAACAAAGATTAATAAAGCAAAATAAACTTGTCAGAAAACTAAAAATGTTGGATTACTAGAATGAATATAGAAGAAATCAAGGAAGAATATCTTCTGAAATGACACTTGAAATCCTTTGCTCTAGATTTCTCTCTTTTTAAATTTTTTATTAATACCTTGCCTTATTCCACAAAGAACTAGAGATGATTTATAGTAAAACAAAATTCAAAATTCGAAATAAAAACACTGCGACTATGGGTACTATAAAACACAACACACACAAAGGTTCTCAGTAAAAAGGAATAATGAAATACAAGTTTCTTCATGGTTGCTAATGGCATTCCATAAAATGCCAAGTTACCTACTGTGCAAACTATTGGAAAGACTAAACAATAAGCAATACAATGAGTGAAGTTCATCTTAAACTATACAAATTCTGGATTCTATTTATTAAAACAAAGGTAAGGAGGGCCGGGGATTTAGCTCAGCAGTTCGGTGGCCTGCCTCGCATGCGTAAGGACCCGAGTTCAATCCCCGGTACCAAAAACAAACAAACAAACAAACAAACAAATAAAAAATAAAACAAAGGAAAGGAAATAAAAATGCAAACAACACCTTCTAAAACAAAACTAGTATTGCAGTGTTATTTCTGAATTAGGGAATTAGAAGGGATGGTAATAAGTATCACCCACAAATGCCCAGAATCTTCTGTAGAGCTTAGTTATGTTAAATCAATCCTACTAGCTTAAAAAGCACATTTTTTTTTACTTTACATAACTTCATTTTTCAATATAAGAAATCACTTTAGAGTATAAGCACTTACTTTATTAATTCTGTCATCTTGAGATAATAATGAAGAATTAACAGATATTTTTTTCCTTAAAATATCAAGATACATTTTATCAATATGTTCTTCTGTAGCAGCTACTGTTGGAGAGCTGTTTTCCATATTCTTATTTGTTGTCTTTTGTAAAATCACATTCTCATCATTTTTATCAAGAAGTTGGTTCACATTTCTTGGGTCTTGACATATAACATTTGCATTTATTTTAACGGGGAAAGAGCGAACATTTACAGTGTCTTTACTATCAGCCACTTTTGGAGCACTATCAAATAAAACAAGACACAGAATAAACGGTTTAGTATGAGTTTCCAAGTATCAAATGCATACATAAATATATATGAGATGTAACTATTCAAATTAAACTACTAATGTTAAATACATTTATAATTCTGGTTAATATAAGATACTGACATAGAATACATAATTGTTTTTAATTTCAGATAGAATTTTTTTCTGTTGCTGTTGTGTTTTTTGTTTGTTTTTTGCAGTATTGGAGACTGAACTCAGGACCTTGCTCTTGCAAGCCAGGCACAGTGCCATTGAGCTAAGTTGCTGCTGTGGTTTTGAGACAGGGTCTTGCTTTCTAGCTCAGGCTGGCCTTATAATTCTCTTTGTAGCACACACTGGCCTTAACTCATGGTGATCCTGCCTCAGCCTCCCAAGTGCTGTGATTACAGGCATGTGTGCTACTACACTCTACTAACTTCAGATATTTTTAATACAGTTTAATAACTGTATTTAATGCAGTATAACATGCAAGTAACACTGAGACCTAACTTGGAAGGACAAACCAAATAAAGACTTGAGAATTGCTTTTGTATAAGAAAATAAAACAAACTTCTAAATGAACTTTTAAAATATATCTTTTATCCGTAAATTCTTAAATCAACCTGAGTTTGAAGCAGGAAAAACAACTTACATAATTCTGTGAGACACTAAAGAAGTAATTATAATTTATGCCTCAGACTCAGAATCAATCATCATAGCATTTAAGAGTCTATCTAACTACTAAAAGGCACCAATAAAATCACAGTATAGAAAAAACTTTAAAGTAAAAAGAAATTACTAGAATTTTAAAATAAAATCATTTATGGTTTAAACTATTTAAATGAAATAAAACAATTCAGACAAATTAGATACTGAAGATCTAGAAAATATATCTCATTGGAATGCCCCGAATTTGGTTAAATACAAGAAAAACTACAGGGGCTGCAAAAATATGAAAACTATTATTCCAAATTACTTAAGCATGGTCAATTAGGTCATTTGATTTTATATTTTATAAAGTAAGGCTAAAGAACAGTTATTTAATAGTTTCCATTTTTATATTCCATAGATTGGCTTCTCAGTAACCATTAGAAACTTATCTAAAGTAGTTTAAATCACTGAAATATATATATAAGTTATTTCAAAACCTGGATAGATGCTGGGCATGATGGTGCACACCTGTAATCCCAAGACTCTCGGTGGCTGGGAGAAGGATCTCAAGACGAAGCCCAGCCAGTGTAATTCAATGAATTAGTGAGACCCTATCTCAAAACAAAGATAAAAAAGTGATGGGGATGTAGCTCAAGTGAAGGGCCTGGTTTCAATCCCTGGTAAATGCAAGAAAACGTTTGCCATATTTTTTTTCTGGTGCCGGGGATCGAATTCAGGCCCTTGCACTTGCAATGCGGCAGGCAGTGGAACCACTGAGCCATATCCCTGGCCCAAAGTTTCCCATTCTTGATGGGTATCAACTAAACTATCTTTCCTTGCCATCTGTAGTTTGGGTCATCCTGCCTTTAAAATGGCAAGTGTTAGGAAACCAAAAGTTCTGTAACTACCACAGTGGTCAGGTTTTGGGTGTCAGGAAACTGACAGCAGAGGCCAGAGCTGGCAACTGATATTTTACAGTGAAGACATTACTAAACTATCACAAGAGCTTATAAAGCAGACCATATTCTCACTGAACCTGGAGTACTAAGAAAAAGAGCTGAAAAATGAGCTGAAAAGAGTAGATATTTTTTTCAGTGCTGGCTATCACTCACTGCTTTCAGCCAGATATTACAAAAAAAAGAAAAAAAGGCTCAAGATTGAATGGCTGTTCTGTAAGTATAATTGGAAGGGAACAAAATGTCTAGAAACTCAGGGTTCACTAAGTTAACTCTCCGTGTCTAGACTACAATCATACAATAAGACTCAGAATGGAAAAAATGAGAAACAAGATTCCATGAGACTTCTCAGGTGAGAAGAGTGACTCAATCCCTTCATAAAAGCCATACTAAAGGTGTCCTTTTCACACTTGTGGTTAATGTTCCCCAAAATGTATAGATAATTTTAAGTATAGGAAGAAAAAAAGCACAAGGTTCAGGAACCAAAGATATACTGCAGATTTAAAACCTTTATTTAGCAAATAACTTTGTTTGCTTGCTGGTACAAGGAACTGACTCGAGCCAAATAAATTGGAAAGCTACTAAACTTTCTGAAGGCACACGACCATATTTGAAAACAAACAGCTCTCAAAGCCATCAAATGAGAGCCTTAAAACTACCAACAGGCAGAAAGTGGACAGCAGTATATCTCCAAAGATGGGCACACAAAATCCACTCTGACTGTTTTGATGGTGATAATGATAATGTATAAGACAAATTGTCCCAGGCATGGAACTGGGTGCTACACAAAGAGCAATGCATTTATAAAGTTCCTTTTTAAGGGGGGAATAACAGCCCAATCAAGGAAAATCTCTATCTCCAATATAAGGGTATTCACATGATCTTTCCTGTGTTTTCATAGTTGTTAACAATAACTGCTGTTTTTTCCTCATGCTTTTCCTTTCAGAATGGGAGTATCAGCTGCAGTTCCATTATTATATCGATGGGGGAAAGGAAGTACATAACTTGTCTTTTCTATTTATCCATTGGTAGGCAAAGATGGGACACACCCAAATGAAGGTGAGGACTATACAGTTCTTCAACTGGAAACCTTGGACATTCAGATGCAGAGTCCTGAATGGGACTATGGAATATCCGCTTTGGGAAGGGTATGGACAAGTCTGTATTTAAGAAGAGTGAAATGGTTATCTGGTTACTAGAAGGACAGATACTGGCTAGCTCCTTGCCAAATTAATTTGCTTTCTAGGGACAAGAGCAAGCCACATTTCCCAGGATCCTAAGACTGGTTAGCTAGAAACGTTGGTTCTTACCAAAAGAATGACAGCCGAAATGATATGGCACTTCTATGTTAGTGTGTTGAAAGAAAATCACACTTTTTCTTATTGACTGCTTGAATAATGCCTTGCCAACCTTAAAACTACAGGTCAGTTAACAGAAACAGTATCTGAGTCAGTCACTTCCTTGCTGCGGGGACAAAATACCACAACTTAAAGGAGAGGTTTATTTGGTTCTTGTTTTTAATCTAGAGTTGGCCAGCTCCATGGTAGGGAGGAATGCTGGAAGAAGGGTCTATGGAGGAGAGCTGCTCACTTCATGCCACTGTGTGGAGTGGAGCTTCATCCTAACCCCAATGATACACATGGTGTGGGGATATAAGCAAGAAAAATGTTTTTTGATACTTAGCTACGAGAATTTCAAGGAGTAGTTTTTATAGCAGCTAGGATTACTTATCTGCCAGCCTACAAAAGAAGGTTTTTACATGTGTGTACTCAAGGTTGTATTACTGACATTTCTGTAATTATTGTTGCAACTGACTTGTATAATTGTTTCCAGCTTTTAAATACAAACATATAAATCTATTTAGAATTTATATTACTAAATTATTACTATATTACTACATGGTTTCACTTGTAACAAAATCACAAGATGTGTAAGACAGTTGCTTCGATAGAATTAACATACCCCAAAACAATGACCAGCACAGTCTACTCCTTAAAAATACTAACTAGTAGTATATACTTAGTTGATATTAGGATCATATTCTATTAAAATACTTTAGTATGTATAGATCAAGGGAAGAATACAAGTCTTAGGAGTCAAGATCTTCTCTCAACTAACACACATGTGGAAAAAATGCCCCCCTCTCCCCCAAAATCACTGCAAGTGGATTTACATAATGAGAACATTAAGACAAGATGGGGCTTGAACTGTGTCTCTTGAAAGCAGAAGTGAGCAAATGACTAGATGAATGGATGATAAGGAATCTAACAGAGGGCCGGGGATTTAGCTCAGAGGCACTGCACCTGCCTTGCAAGCACAAAGTCCTGAGAGTTCAATCCCTGGTACCACAAACACACACAGATATTTTATGAGTAGAAAGTAATTAAGGGCTAGGGATTTAGCTCAGTGGTTCCTCTGCCTGCCTTGCAAGTGCAAGGTCCTGAGTTTGATCCCCAGTACAAAAAACAAAACAAAACAAAAAGACTATCTTCCATGTTATGAGGATCATGCAAGAGAGAGTATGTGACATGGCTATGACACTGTAAGTGCTACATAAATGCAGAGTTGTCCGACAGGACTGTGATATGCTACTCATCAGAATCACATACACTTGCCACTAAACTGTATCAGAGTGGGAGCATTTTTATAAAGTCCGTTTCTCTTGGGACCACAGAACTCACCCTGTGAGAACAATGACCAGTCTGTGACTAAGTCAAACTAACTGGCTTAGAAAATGAACGAATGTATGACTCATATAAAGGATAAAATATAAGGGCCAGGTATATAGCTCAGTGGTGCTGCTGCTGCCTCCCAAGCACAAGGTCCTGAGTTCAATCTCCAGTACCAAAACAAACAAACAAACAAACACTGTGCCCTTCAGTGTAAATCAACTATTTGAAGTTGAAGAGATGTTTTTCAATGAAAAGCATTAGGCCTAATTAGTGGCAGCAACTTTTTAATAGTATCTTTTTTTTATAGCACTAAAAGAATTTTGAAGAATTAATTCAGTGACACAGGTAGATGCACACAAGCTATTAATCATTCATTACAAATTCATAGAACACATGATTACAAAAGTTTCCAATGATAAAACAAATAAGCAAACATAACCTACAATCAACCAATAAAGCCTAACAATACTTTCCAAAAATCTTGTACCTTATAGGCTGTAAATCAAAACTACTGACTCCAGTAGAATCTATTCTGATAGGTTTCATCAACTCCTCCACTGTGGGCAGATCTAAGAGGAAAAAAAGTTAAATGTACAGGCCAAAAATGTTTTGCAAACTGCTTAATTTATGTATTTAATATTGCTAGAATTAACATTTTTTCTGATTGGCACAGGTAACAAAATACCAAGCACAAAAAACCTGGCTTCCCATCATATACTTGTCTGTACCAAAAAGGCATCCTTTGATATTTATCAAATATCAACGTCTGGCTGGTGATTTAGCTAAGTGGCACCACGCCTGCCTTGCAAGCACAAGATCCTGAGTTCGATCCCTGACACCCGAAAAAAATAAAAATAAAAAAAAACCAATCAAATATCAACATCAAATACATCTCTCAAATATGAAGAGCAAATATTTAATTCATACAACACACACGTGTTGAGTACCTTTACCGATGTCAAAGCATTATCCTTTATTAAAATACTTTAATACATATATATGTGCACAGAATAAAAAGCATCAACTTAATGTGATTTATTAATTTGGCCAAAGTATATTAGAAGAATTGAATTTTATTCTATGCTCAGCTCTATCTAACATTCCATTTGAAGCAAATCCTTTTTAAGTGCAGAGACTGAGAAATAATCATGGCAGCAAATGTATTTAAATTATAATACAGGAAACTGTTTAGAGGTCTCAAATAGTTGAAACTTTCTATTTATCTATGAGCTTTTACCAGATTCAGTAGTAGAGATGTGTTTTGAAGACTCCTCATTTTCCTGAGGATGATCTTTCACTGAGCTCTTGATAATTTCCATTGCACTACTCTCAGCTCTGTGTTCATCTGCATCTCCCAAAGAATGAGCTATGTGACGATAGGCCTGATGTAGGGCTTCAATGTCACTACTGCTTTGCCCGAAAGAAATACCTGTAAGCATAAATATAATCCCTGGTATAATCTCATCATAAACACAGGAGAAACATAGCATCCAAATGTCATTACTTTATCTGTTAGGATTGACAAGGCTCTCTCTAGCACAGTGGTAACATTATAAACAGAATTAAGTAGAAACCTAGGTAATTCAGAGCCATAGCCTACAAGTGTGAAATCACCAAAGGACCAAGAACTCTTAGCAAGTTGAGATGGTCTTGATGTAGTAACCATAAAGTCCAATGTTACTAATTACTGTCCTATTATCCCTGACTGATCTGTATTGGACAAAACTACTCCTAGACTATTGAAAGTGACACAGTCCTTTGAAGCATTTTATCTTTCCTTTACCACTACCCTCTTTTACTCTTTGATATCCTAGACCATCTTGTGGTGTGCATTTTTTATTCAATAGCAATTCATTCCTCTAACTTTGTGACAGAGATGTAGTCCAACATCCTGCTAAAGCTGCTATAATCAGAAGTAATTTCTTCCTATTTCACATTGTTATTATAGTTTATTCAGAGCAGAGAACTATTTGGTATTTATACATGTGTAACTCATTTATTTCACTTAGAGGAGTATATCCTCAATATGTATCCATTTTCCTATGAATGCATCTAATTTATCATTCTCTATGGCTGAGTAATATTCCATTTTATAGAAAAAAACACATCTTCTTTATCCAGAAGGGGCTAAAGGTGTAGGGAAAGTGGGAAGGGTAGGGGAAAGCTAATAAGGGAAAAGAAAAAAATATGAGAAAATGGAAATTAAGTGTTTGTAAAGGGGGAGGGGAGGAGAGGTGAAGGGAGGGTGGGGACAAAGGGAAAAAATGAGAACCAAGACCTGTCATGTACAGGTATAAGATCCCAGTAATGAATGTAACTGTACTGTATACCTAAAATGTACCAATAAACTCAATGAGAAAAAAAAAGAATTTCTTAATGACTAAATCCATGTTTAGTTTTTGTCAATCCTGTGAAACATGTGACAATATCTTTTCTCTACTTTTCTTCTACATCCATTCTTTTTCTTATTATTCCTGCCTGTGATGGCTGCTTCTCCATTTCTTATGGCCAGTGCTCTCAACCCAGGGGGTCTGCATTTAGTCTTCTTTTTTAGTCCTCTATTTTTTTTAAACCCGGTTAATTTAATACAGACCCATAAACTTTAACTGTTATAGTAATACATTGGTTCATGAATGCTTCTGTTTGTAAACAATTTGGTTTGCAAACAAAAGCATTCAGCAAAATTTTGCTTCTATTCACAAACTCTGCATCAGGTGACAAACGTGACCATTGCTATCTTCCCCACACAAACACAGCCATTTCCCCTAAAATAGTGAAACAAATTAAGTTCATAAACCAATGCACCACTATACTCATATTTTCATGATTTCCAAGTTAAGTCTTTTGTCCTTATCTCTTTTATGAATACCAAAGTCGGTAATAGACATTTAGATTGCCCTATAAATAATTCATACCTAATATATTCCAGACTAAATTCATTATATTCCCCACTAAAACTCCTTCTACTACTCAGCATTTTGTTTTAGCTAATGGCATCACTACTCAGTCACCTAAAATAGATCATGATGATGTCATTCACTCTTCCTTCCCAATTCACCTTCTCCCATCAGCAGACAGATAAATTCCAGAGAAAACAATTCCTACAAACTAATGAAGATAATAACATCAGATATTGATTAGTATTTTCTCAATCATTTTGTAACTTTCATTCCTAACAGTGGAATTTTCAAAATTAAAGAAAGGCTCACAGAAGAATGGAAAAAAAGGAAAGATAAATAAGTGATCAATCTCTTCTTCTCTTGGTAACTACAGTTAACTAATGCTTAAAGATAAAATAGACCATATAAAGCCTCATTTTCTTCTGTGTACACCAAAAAGTGTATAGTGTACACATCTGAGGTTATATTTAACTCAAAATATAAGAGGTGCTGAGCAATGAATATGAGTGTGTAAGAATGACAATATGCTTCCTTCTAGCTAATTAACACTTCAGGTACCTAGGGCTATTTGGAGTACACTCAATAAATAACAAATATGCTTAAATAAACTAAAAACATGAAAGTGGAGCATACTGTTAGAAAAGAATTGTCAACAGCTAAGCAGCAGGAACTTTCCAAGAGAACTTGAGGTGTTGTCTATTAAGGTGGGCTTAACTATTTCTCCTTACTACCAGCCAGAATCAGAGCAGCATGACTCAAGGAAAGAGTTATTGTGAAAAAGGAAAGGCACAAGTTGTTTTCTTTCCTCTATAAAAGTGTCATGATGCTTAAGTATCTGCAGAGCACACATAAAAGAAATGACTTCAGTGGCAAGCAGTATAGCAGTGCTGAATGCTCATACCTAATTGATAGGTGTGAGGTGTCAGAAAGAGGAGACATCAGTCTTTAAATGACCTAAAAGTTAGGAATTAGAGTTATGGATAAGTATGAAGGGTTACTAAGAAAATAGAGAGAAAAAATGTTTTTCATAACTTTAGTCATTAATCAAAGCTATGAATAATTCTACATTCATTCTAAAATTCTATTATGAATAATTCTACAATCACGTATATTAACTTTTCTCATGCATTTTATGAAAAAAGGGCTAGCTGCCTTTTACATTAAAGAAGTGAGGGTGCTATGTAATTGTTTCATTTATTATACTAAGTTGAAAGTGCCTTATATTTTTCAACTTTAGAAAGCTGAGAAGTGTCAAATCCTATTTCGCAAAGGAAAGGGAAGAGATTCATGAAGCAATAGTCATGGTGTGACTGCTTCAGTCATGCAGCCATAGCACAAAATAGTACTTGTCTGGAGGACAGATGAAAGTAAGTGAAAGCTAGCTTTCACCTGGTGTTAAGTAAATCTCATATTTATACTTAATAACTTCTTTAATGTAATGCAGCAAAAGAATTCCAGAAACAATATTATGAATAAAAGATAATCTCTCACCATATTTTACCTACACATCCTGCTTATTACTAGGAGAAACAGAGCAAAGCAAAACAAATAAAAACAACTAAACTTGTCAGTTCTTATACCAAGTTCAGATGCTCACTTGAAGTCTTACAGGTATACTTTTGAAATGCTAGGTAAATTTTATATCCCACAGTCAATAAATGTTTATACTATGTCTTTAGGTATTTTATTACAGCTTGAATTGTTAACAGAGGGTTAGAGATAGTAACTACCACTGTACAGTTTCTACTTACTCCTTACTGAATCTTAACGATGTACTAGGCACTATACATCGTCTCAGCTGACCATTACACAGACTCACTTTATTCTATTTCTTTTATTGAGTTTATTGGTACATTTTAGGTATACAGTACAATTACATTCATCATTGGGATCTTGTACCTTTACATGACTGGTCTGGGTTCTCCTTTTTTCCCCTTATCTGTGCCCTCCCTTCACCCCCTTCTCCCCTCCCCATTTACAAACACTTTATTTCCATTTTTTCATTTTATCATATTTTTTTCTTTTCCCTTATTACCTTTTCCCTACCCTTCCCATTTTCCCTACACCTTTAGCCCTTTTCTTCCTATTTCACATGGTCAATCCACAGGCTCATTTTAAAGAAGTAAGTTTAAGGCATTAGCTGTCCAGTGTCATACAGCTGATAAGTGGCAAGTCTGGAAGTATGATTTCAAGTCTATATGACAATAAAGTTATGCTTTACTACTGTCTAATAATTCACTAATCAAATTATTTCAGTTAAGGTATTTAAGAAATAAAACCCAAAAACTGTAGTTTTATATATAGCTTGGATCATCTCAGAATTATTTTCAGTAATACAGTTTTGATTTCTGAGTTTTTCTTACAACTTAGAGCAGTAGCTTTCTTACTGTGTTTTACAAAACCATAGTTTTTCAGACAAAAATCATGGGTTCCAGAGATATTTGATTGAAATTCCATTTTAAATCATGCTTTAAAACATAAAAAAACTGTAAAATAATTTTATGTACACAATCAAACATGCCACTTCTGTAATTATAGTATTTTGAAGACGTTACACAATTGTAATACCTTTGGACAACTTTGTTTTCATGCACATCTTAAAGGTTTCTCTGGCCATTCCACCCACATATACTAATGTATATTCTAATACATTGCTTATTAAGAAAGTTGTAGTTCTACACTGGTCTTTTAAAATAATTCACACGTGCTTATTGCAAACTGTATATCCAGAGACCACCACAGTGATAAGAAATCAGATACTTGACAGGAAACTGTACTTTGGTCCTCTTTTGGTTTTTGATCTGGTTGTTGCTGACAGCGTATTCAGTATTTAAAAATTCAGTATGTATGCATGAACTTTTCTATTAGTATACGTCAATAAAAAAATTAAAAAACCAAGAAGCTGTGGTATAGAGTTAATTAGTGATGCCTATTGGTCTTTTTATTCAAGTATGTGAGTCCGTTCAGTTGACCAGCATCTTGAGACTACCAAAAAAAGCAGATTAAAAAGTTTCTGTTTGGGCTGGGGATTTAGCTCAGTGGCATAGCACCTGCCTAGCAGTGTGAGGTCCTGAGTTTGCTTCCTGGTACCAAAAAACAATAAAACAAAACTAGTTTCTATTTTCAACTCGTGGGCTAAATCAATAATTTATTCTACACAATGAAAACAAAATAAACACAGTGGAAGGTTGATGGTGATGTGAGAATGTGCCATATTTTTCAAGGGACTACCGCTCTTACTAACTATATAGGTAAATGTTACACATGTGTTCTAATACATACTTATACTGGCTCACAGAATATTATCAATATAGAGCTCCATGTAAGATTCAATTACATAGAAGAGTTCCACTTGCTTTAAAAAGCATTGTCTCAAAATCTTACAAACTTTAAGAAAGGCTTAGGTAGTCTCAGGTATTTCAGAACTCTAGGGCATGATATATATAGCTTTATCCTAAAGAGAGGGAACTATGAGAAAGTGCAATAAAACCAAAGTACCATTTTTCCTACATATGACAAAATAAACTAGATTCTGGAAGGACAAATTAGTATCTACCTACAATACTATGCTTTGTTTCAGAAACATTGTTCATTTACTAGTAAGCATTTATTTAAAAAGCACACGTGGCTTGGACTATGAATTAGCATGAGGTGTCGCCAACAGTAAATTCTGATATTTTTCAGTACTGGTACTGAACACAGGGTCTGCATACAACAACCCTGTCGATCCTTTGAGACACAAAGTTGCTAAGTTGCCAAGGCTGAGCTTGAACTTGGATCTTCCTACCTTAGCCTCCCAGAGTGCTGAAATTACAGGTATGTGCCAACGTGTCCAGTTCAAATTCTGATTATTCAAAATTTTTTCTATGGTAGAAAGATGCAAGGTTTAAGTTCTTATTGTCAGTGTTGTTATATTGTATATTTCCCTAGAAACAAATTAGTTTTCACGAAGTCCACATATAAAGAATAAGCCATTTTTCAAACAACCTTACCTGTTCCTGTCATTTCATTATCAGTCATATCTGGAAGGGCCTTTGGCTTAGTTGTTGCTTTATCTTGTTCATCAAGGTCTGCACCTTCGACAGAGTCCAATGAATCAAGTAGCACAACTAGAAGAATATAAAAGAAAAAGTACAAGGAATGTAGAAAAATTCGTGGTTCTTTTGATCTAATGAAGTTATTTTATTCACATACAATGTATGTATTAAAATGTGTTTTTTTTGGTTTTTTTTTTCCGGTACCAGGGATTGAACTCGGGTCCTTGCGCTTGCGAGGCAGGCCACCGAACCACTGAGCTAAATCCCCGGCCCTTGAAAATGAGTTTTTATATATAAATGGTATATTACATGCATAGGAGTTTATATATTCAACAAACTTGATTTCCTCCCTATGTACAAGAGACTGGGCTAACAATAAACAAATGTATCTATGATGTAACTATAATTATATACAGGTCTAATATACATTTGTGCCTGGATGGCAAAGGTACTGAGAAAAATAACAGAAAGGAAATACAGTCAAATATAACAGGATGAATTCAAGATAGGCACAAGGGAAACACTACTGAGAAGCTCTGAACTATAATTCCTTGAAGAGATTTAAAGACAAGGACAGTGATTCACTCAAAATTATTTAGATAAAACAAACAGATGAATATTTTGCCAACTAAAACATGACACTATGTAATATTTACCATTAGCCAGCAGGCTAGTTTTTTCTTCTACCTAAAAAAAGAAAAAATGATTATATGTCTGCAACCAAAACTGTGTTTAGTTATATAATGTGAAACAAATTTGAGAACCAGTGCTGTTCTCCAAAGATCCAGAACAGAGCTTTCCAGGTTTACAACACTACTCTCATTCACCAATAATTCTTCAAACCCAGAGAGACCATAGCTCTCAAGGAGCTTCTACTGAATTTTGGCAATTACCAAAATTAATTTAGCCTAAAAAGACTTGCTTAAAATATCTAGGTTCTGTTTACTCATTATCTTTCTCAAAAAAATTCTTCAGTTATTTTGAACATCAAGATAACACGGCCACTTCACAGAAGATTCTGAAATTACATTACTCATCAATTTTCCCATACTATTCAAAATTAATGACCAACTGTATGTACACAGTACTCAAAGTTTCACCTATACTTTGAAAGACGTAACTTTCAGAAAGGGAAGCCACCAACAGATAAATGTGCTTCAATATTACAGGTTTTCTTAGAATAGTATTATCTTTATTCCTCACTTGGCTAGGCAGTATGTGGGGTTTTTTGGACAGCTCTCTCTGAAGCTTCCACATTTAGTGGCACATTTTTGTGCAGTGCATACTTTCTTAACATATCCCACTAGCAAAATGAGTAATAGCCCTTAAGAAGTCTTAGTAAGAACTAAGAAATGAGAGAAATCAGATGTAAATGTAATAATGTCACTGCTTATCTTAGCCAAGTAAGTTTCAGATACCAATATAATCACTGGCATAAATACTAAAAAGCAGGAATTAATTATACTTCACAAGGACAAGCCCTACCAAAGAAAAGTGTAATTATACCAGTTTGTTTTAAAATTTTAATTATTCCCCACTTCTAAAACTCAACTTTAGGGTATCTCATAAAATCATTAATTATTATGATTTTTTTCCTTTAAGATTTATGATAAATATCCTGAGTTAAGAAAATGTTTAACTGAGTGTAAGGAAATCTATGCTTATAATGAGCTAGACATGAATTCCATATTTCAAGCTCTTCTTATTGAAACAGTATAACTGATGAAAGATGTTGAACAACTCTCAAATATAAAATTGATGTATACCTGTTTGGGTATATTTACTTCTGATTTAGGATTTTCTTTGGAATGTGTTTCTTCTTCAACTTTAGGAAACAAAGGTAAATCAACATCCTCTGCATCTTCAAAATCATCACTGTAATTTTCTGAAGGAAATAATTTTAAAAAGTACAAGAATCACACTGTCAAAGTCAAATTCTAGGAGTACATTAATTTCCAAAGGCACAAATCAGCATAAGAATTCATAGAGATACTAACAAAGGGAATCTTTAGACTTTCAGATACCATATTTGCAAAAATTTAATGAATGTTCAATTTATAAGACTACCTTGGGATTATTTCATTTTTTGTACTTTCAGATGAAAGTTTCATATTTTAATCTTTTATTACCCAACTAAAAGTTTCTGTAGTTGTTCAACAGACTTTATATTACCTTTCAAGTAAAACTTTAAGAGTAGCTTTTTTTTCCAAAGACATTAATCTCTAATTGCTTACTCAGAAAAAGTAGCACTTCTATGAAATTCTGATATTCTCAAAATGGTTGGGTTTTCTTGTTTTTAAATTGATTTTTTAATTCTCTTCAGGTACCTCTGGTGTAAGTCTTAGTGATACTTTTGAAAGATCTATCTGCAATCTGTCAGATAAATACTGAACCCATATGACCTTTACTGTTTTCCAAATCCTGGCATTTTTGGCTGAGATCCCTAAATTATACTTGAATGGTATTGCAGCATAAAGAAAAGCTATTTCCATGAGAAATGATTTCATTGGTGTACTTATGGGGAAAGTGAGGTGTTTTGTTTTTTTTTGCCAGTTATCTTGCCATCAATTTTTAAGTTGTTTATAGCTTTTATATCAAAGGACTGGTAGACAGAACTAAGGGCTGAAGAAGGTGAACAACTTTTTCAGAGCAGCACTGTTCATTTAGAAACAAATAGTTTAATTATATTTTTTACAAATTACACCACAGTGAGAAACAGGATGGACTGATGGGAAACAAACTGCATGAAAACTAAAATGTCTGCTTCAGAAATGCCTTGTACTCTTTTTGTTTACATTGAGGGGACAAGTTGGGACATAATACTGGAAGTCTATAAATAAATTTTGGAAGGCATTCAAGTTAAAATAAAGATACGCCAATAAAATCTGGCTACAGAGACATTTCCATTTTAATTCATAAAAATATGAGTTTAGAACAGCATGGGTATTATAATATAAGTATACAAACTAAGTTACTTGGTTAAATACAACAGTATTTATATTCTATGACCTAATTATGTTTTTCTACATGAGAAGCACACTTATTTGGGATTTTCTAAATATCAGTGGACATAATTAAATTTGCAAAATTATAATGAGCTAATAATAATAATACTAATGGTACTTTGTATTAGACATACTTCTAGGTGATAGGTTCAATATAAAGTGATTGAAATTTTCATATTCTAGGTAGATATCACTGAATTTTAAGTAACCTCAAAGATTAGAACTAAGAAAAGATGAATAAGGAGAGAGAGATATGGGAGAGAATGACAATGAACTCATCCGGGATTTTAGAACTGATGAAAGGGGTTATAGTACATGGTATGTGACTGGATAAAAGCAATGTAAGAAATAGTTCATGTAAATAGCATAGTGCTTAACAGTATGACCTGGAGACAGAGGCCTAGATTCAATTCCTTGTTCTACTAATGGCAGAACTAATAGCAGGTCATAAACTCTTGGCCTCACTTGTTCCATCTGTAAAATGAGGATGATAATAGTACTAGCTCAAGATTAGCTGAGATTAGAAGTTAAAGTATTTAAAAGAGTTGATATGTACTACATAAGCAAGTAATAATAGTAATTATTGCTGTTAGTATGATTATAACTAGTCATGTACTTAAAGTCAATATTTCTTCTTTTTTTGTGTGTGTGGTTGTGGGGATAGAACCCAAGACCCCAGGTATGCCAGGCAAGAACTTTACCACTGAGTTACACCTCCAAGTCATCCAAATACTATTTTTGATTGGGAAAAACTGATAATCTAATATGCATTATTCCAAATTATATTTTTAAAATTCTTATTTAGTAACTGAATAGCCTATAGGCAAATTCTACCATCCAAACACGTCTCAGGGAATGTGTCATGAGTAAAGTAGGCTGGAAGTAAGAAGAAAATGCCATTGGTAGACATCGAAAGAAATGAAAGGGAAAGGATTAAAGGGAAGGAAACCAGTACATCAGACATTTTACAAACAACCATTAAAGCAAACTTAGTTTATATAAAAATGAAAGTAAAACCCAACTGAGGTGAGTCTTATATATTTGAAGTATGACAGTTAAGAGCCAGGTTGTACCACACTGTTTGGAAAAAGTGAGATGTTAACTTATAGCATTCTGACTGTTTTGGCAGGAAGATATTACATAATTTAAGATATTCTTTCTTGTAACTTTGAAATATTTATATAAGCAAAATGTTCTTCAAATATAGACAAAATAAATCATATTCAATGTAAAAGATGTGAAAGATCATTTTTGGAGACATTTCTTATCCTTTGATGGAAAATTTAGCTGTAGACTAAGTATAATGCAATCTAGATTCCTTTCTTCTTTGTCATGTAGGAGTTAAGGGAACTGTACTTAACTTCTATAATCAGTGAATTTGACAAAATATATGAAAACACTGTTTTCAGACAATGGACAATTGACGTCTATTCTTGAGTCCTCGCAAGGAGGGGGAGGACTGTTTCACTGAGTTAGACAGAATTCAGAAAGAATAAGGCACTCACAAGTTCTACAGTAGTAATCAAGTATATATAAAACAGAAATCTGCATGGGTGCTTTACTAATTTATTAATAAGAACTACTGGAAAGCTGTAGGCTAGACAATTTCCAGAGTTCACATCAGGCAGGGAGGCTTTCAAGCTCTAATCTGAGCAGAAGGTCTTCACTGATCACCAGAAGCATTCAATACAAACCTTGGGAGCAATGTGCTTTAGTAGTAGGGCTAAATGACGTCTATAGCAGCCACTCTAGACATCTCCTAACAAACATAAGAAAAGCCTTAAAGGATCAAGGGGGCAGGAGCAACTATCTACAAGAACAAAGCTCAACATTTTTAAAAGAAAGTAAAATCTAGCACACTCAACAATTAAATATTGAAAATATCCAATGAAAGGAAGCAAGGAAAAGTATCCCCAATTAGGAATAAAAGCAGGCAATATAAAGAGACACTGAATTCAACAAATGTAAGGACCAGGGATTTAGTTCAGTGGTTCCACCACCTGCCTCTCAAGTGCAAGGTCCCAAGTTCGATCCCCAGTACCAACAAGGAAAAAAGAAAATGTGAATGTAACCAAGTATAGTAGGAAAGATAGTAAAAAGATTCTTTTAAAAAATATAAAAGGAATTTCTAGAGTCATACAGGAAAATAAGAATGGTGATAAAAACAGCAGATTACAGATCAGTGAATTTGAAGGCACAACAATAGAAAATGAAGCACAGAAAGTAAAAGAGGAAAGCTTTAACATGTTCCTGCCAGACTGAATCATCAGTGGTACAAGCAGCTTGTACCACTGGTCATACAAGTGGTACAGTCATTCACGTTCCACTAGTCAATCTGCCTGGCAGCGAGACATATGAATTACTGTCCCATCATGAATGTGTTAAAAGACATAACAGAATCTTAGTGACTTTTACAGCAAAACTTAAGTTTCCTAACTTAGGATCAGAGGGCAGGGGTCAAAATGTAGAAATGATATTTGAAGAATTAATGGTTAAACTATTTTTTTATTTTGATGAAACCTATAAACTCAAGGATGATAGAGCAACTTCAAACAGGAAAAATACAAAAAAGGCATACCAGCATACATCAATAATTAAAACTGTCAAATGCTAAAGATAAAAATCTTAAAAATTGGAAAAAACACAATACCATACACTCAGCCCTCTGTGTCTGTGGGTTCTACATCTGTGGATATAACCAATAATAGATTAAAAATATTCAGGAAAAAAATGTGTCTGTTCTGAACATGCACTTTCTTCTCATGATTCCTTAACCAATGGAGTATAAGAATTATTTACATTATATTAGGTATTATAAGTAAATGTGAGATAAAGTATAAAGAAGGATATACATAGGTTATATGCAAATACTATGCTGTTTTTATTCAAGGGACTGAGCATCTAAGATTTCAACACTTGTAGGGGGCACTGAAACCAGTCCCTCACAATGATGACTGTATATATAATAAGTAACAGTAATTTTCAGTGAGTTCTCATGAGAAATACATACGGTCACAAGATATAGAATAGAATCAAAGTGCTCAAATTAAAATAAAAACTATAAATATTCTATATTAAGTAAAAGGATTCTTCAAAAATGAAGGCAAAACATACTTTTAGACAAATTAAAGCTGAGTGAATGTGTTTCTAGTAGTAATCTGAAGTACAAGAAATGTTACAGGAAGCTAGCAACACATCTTACAATATAATTTAAGATAGAAGTTGTAATCTATACAAAAGAATACAAAGCCCTGGGTAAGTATGTGGAGAAATACAAATCAACATATAAATATACATTTTTAAATATTTTAAAATAATTGTATTAACAACTATTATATTTTAAGACACGTAGAAGAAAAAATGACAAACAGGAAAATGGGCAGAATTTAATACTGTTACGGTTCATGAAAAGTGATACAGTAGTATTTTAAAGTCGGCTCTAATAGGTACAAGTAGGCTGTAGGTATATAAGGTATTGTTAATCATAGGACATCTAGAAAAAAAATACAACAAAGAGGCATAACTAAAAAGCCAAGAGAAGAAATAAAATGGAAGGCAGTAAATGTAAGGTCTATCACATATAAGCAGTGTATGACTGGATATTTATGCTGTTATAATCAGAAAAAAATTCCTCAAAACACAGAATCCAAATGCTGAAGAGATAAATAGAATTTGTGGACAAATAAAGCTGAGAATGTGTCATACACAGGAAGGATCTCACTAAAAATATCTTTTTATCAATTATAAGCTCTTCTCATATTATAAGGACCTCAACCTACAGCACCAAGAGGAAAAAAATCCATAAATACATATTCACGAGAAAACAAGGCAACAAAAGACCTCCAATATCTTCCAATTCTACCAAGGCAGATCTATGGGG